TTTATTAAAAAGCCACCTCAGGAAACCCTTTTCACCTCCCCTAGCCTCAGTAAACAACATTCCTATTTGCACCACCCTAGATTAATAGCTATCTTCTCTCATTTATTTTAGGATTTCTAAAAACTCAGAATATGCAAGCCCCAGAGGAGTTAAATCCAATAGGACAGGACCTTAGCTTTTATTTTTTAATAACATAACAATTTGCTAGGGATGGCAGCACATGCCTGTAATCCCAGTTATTCAGGAGGTTAGGACAAGCGGATCACAACTTAGAGGCTACGCTGGGCAACTTAGAGACTTAGCAAGACTCTGTCTCAAAGAAAAAGTGTGGAAAATGGCTGGCAGAGTGCTTGGTTCAATCCCCAGTATTTGAAAAAAGAAAAAGAAAAAACCCTACAAAACAGCAACAACAAAACTTCCAAGAATTCTACATATTTCTACAGGCAGATTACCTAAGCTTTTGTAGAAATTCTCTTCTCTCAGCACCCTCTTGATTCCTGCCCATACTTTATTCAATTCTCTGCTCACAGCATCCACCCTATTCCTGTTATCCTTCAGTACACTTACTACTGCTTAGCCCCATTTTCTACCATTCATCTTTTTTATTCTGAAACTGAATCTCACGAATTTGTCAAGATGTCTGGGAAAGGCATGAACTTGCAGTCCTATAGCAGAAATTCAGCAAGGAAAGCAGAGCATAGCTCTGTGTCCAGCATCCAGAGCAATCTGTAGCAAGATGTGAACTCCAAAGGGTGTGGGTGACCCCACCGTAGGCCCTGCTGGAGTTGGGGTGCCTTCATGGCCTCTCTCTCAGGCTGTTTTTCCTCAGATGGTCCACAATCCTGGCTTTTCTAGCATTCTGGAATTGCCATTGAACTTTCGGTCTCACTCACAGCTTCACTCAGAGGCCTAATGCGTAGCCTCCAGGCCTTCTGAAATCTGGGTGGAAGTTTTCTTGATCTTACAAGTTTTGAAGTCTGCATGTATATAAACCAGCACCTCGTGGATGATGCCAAGTTCTGCTGGAGCAATAGCCTGGCCCTTTTCTATCTTGCTGGTGGCTGCAGAAGCCTCTGAGTCCCTGGATGGCTGGGTGAATCAAATCTGGGGAACAAATTCCTTAGCAGCTACCATTCCTTAGCAGGGTGTTGTGAGGCTTTCTTCTCAAAGCAGTCTTTCACCTTTGCAATTTTGTGTCTGCAAAGAGAGGCCTTGATGGTTAGTCATGTCCCTTTAAACTATTTTACCTATTGTCCTGTTTCAAACTTGATTTTTATTTAATGCTAATCTTTTCAGCAACCATTTTCTCCTCTGCTCCATCTTTGCATGCTTTAACTTTATAGGAGCTTTGATTCTGGCCAAACTTGAAACACTTCAAATTATCCTGCTGGGTGGTTTGCTCTTGATTCACAATATAGAGCAGGGTAAAAGCCTGGAACAGTAACCAAGCCACAGCCTGAATGTTTCAGTGTCTTGACATTCCACAAGATTAGTCTGCCTTCCTTAATCTCAGTCTCCTGCAAGGTCTCGGAACATGAGCAAGATGCTGACAAACTTTCTTCTAGGGCATAGTAAACAGAACCTGGAGTCCAACAGCCAGTGCAGTCCTTTTCCCAATTGAAATATCTAAAGCCTGGTCTTTTTGAGCTGAATTTCAGTCAACAGTATGATCTTTTGAGCTCCAACCAGAATCTCACAGCAATGTGGAGTTGTTTACCCAATCATCATCTTTAAACTTTTCTAAACTCCAACAAGACAGTTTCAAAGGTTTCTGAACCACATGGTTAGGTAGCATTACAACAACATCCCTACTTCTTGGGTACCAAGATCTGTCTTAATTTCTTTGCCATTGCTGAGACACAATGCCTGACACCCATATCTCCAAGGGGAAAGGATTAATTTTGGCTCATAGTGTGAAGAGGTTTCAGTCCATAGCTGGCTATCTCCAAGGCAAGGCAGCATGGCAGAGGAGGCTTGCTCATGACATGGTGATGGGAAGCACTGAGTGGTTAAGGAAGGAGGGAGGAAGGTGTACCCTTCCAGGCCATCCACTAGTGACCCACCTCCTCCAACCCAGCTTCACTCCCAACATCACACTGAATTATAAACTCATCAGCGGATCAGTGAACTAATCGACTGATGAGTATCACACACCCATGATCCAGTCATCTCCCTCCATCTATGAGCACGTGAGGCTTTGGGGGGACGTCTAGATATGAATCATAACATTTGGGGGGACATCTAGCTAGAAACCATAATACCTTATGAGTGGGCCTAAAAATTCTTCAAATCACTTGGCTAAGGCTCCTTTCTTTTCTTGTTGGTCACTGGCCATCTTTTCATATTGTGATTATATTTTCTAAATCATCATGATGCTGAGCTCCTCCTTATAGTAAGAGATTCTTTCTCTGGGTGTGTTAACGTTTGGGTTGTGTTAGAGTCTATTTGCACTGCTGTCTTTATATTAAGTTAGAAAATAAAGCTTTATTTTTTCCAAAGGGTAACTAGCCGAGATGATGGATAAGTTAATTAGCCTGATTGTGGTGATCATTTCACAATGCCATGGCATGTACATTAAATATAGGGTAATTTTTATTTTTCAGTCTTACCCCAATGAACCTGAAGATGAGAAATTTATATGATTCTGACATCTACACAAGAACTTTCCTAATGCATTAGCTCAATTTTATTTGGAAAATTTAGTGAGTGCCAGATGCTATAATAGACATGGGTGATGCAATAATGAGAAAAACAGACAAAAGTCTTAATGTCACAAAAATTTTTCATGAGGAGTCTACCTGGCTGAATACCATGTCATGATGCTCATGTTCTCTCTTTATTATGAGTGTAAAACACACAGGCCAAGAAAGTTATATTTTTGTAACCAGCTCACAAAATTGTTGAGCCAATTCTGTGCTCTTTGATTTTGTTCTGTAAAGTTGTAGAACAATTAGAACTACTTATTCTCCACAATAAGAAAAGGTCAAAGTGGCCTGATGGATTTGGGTTAAACAGGGATATAAGAGTAAATGAAATAAAACCTTTTAGGCTTGTTCTATCAGTTCTTTAAAACTTTACAAAATCATTCCTTAACCCTAATGAGGCAGCAGGGATGACTTTGAAGTGTGTGGTAAATTTTGCCACCTTCCTGAGTCCTGACATTTATTTCTCTCCTTCACCTGCAGGATCAGTCCTAGAAAATTCTTCTAAGCATAGTTAATACAAAATTTTTTTCACCACTACTAATCACAATTATCTTTGTTTCTCCTCCCTTTTTCTTTTCCTTAAAGGTTTGATGTCTTTTTTTGGGTGGGCAGAGTAGCCAACTTTTGTTAACCTGAAACTTTTCTTGTGTGAGTCCTTGTTATTTATTGGGTAAGTTTTTATTCTACCATCAAAGCTGGAGTTAAAATAGAGGGCTCTGTCTTTCCTCACGGCACATTCAATGCCATCCTCAAAATATGGTCCTCTTTCTCAGGTTGATTCAATGGTTTATTTGACTTCAAGATGGTAAGATGGAGTTGGGAAGCCTGCAGAGACTAGTTGCTTTTTGAGAATTAGATTTTTATCCAACTCCAAACTATGGAAGTCTTTAAACTTGGGAAAGACAAGGATTGGTAGGCATGTTTTGCTTGCTTTTGGTGGTAGTGGGAATTGAACCCAGGTGCTCTTACATAACTGAGTTACACTCTCATTTTCAAAATAATTTTTTGAACTTATGGATTTGAGACAGGATCTCACTAAATTTCCCAGGCATGCCTCCTCCTTGTCTCCTGAGAGGTTGAGATTACAGGTGTACACCTGGATATGCATTTTGAACCCTTGTTTTTGGTTGTTGTGGGAGAAAAGCTGTAGGTAACTATAGGCAGATGAACAATGAGAAGGCAGCTGCAGTGACTTGCAGTGATCCTGGGTTAGAAATATGGATGAGAAGATAAGAGGGCATAAGAATTTGGGGGATATTTGTCAGTGCCAGGAATAGTTTTAGAAATTTTACCTAGGGAAATGAAAGCTGGGTAACAATCAAGAAGAGCACTGGGAATTTTGGCCAGAGCAACAGACTGGACATTGAAGCCATTCCCCAAAAAAGCCAATACTGGGGAGGAAGTTCAGTGGTGAATATGATGCATTCAGTATGTTGGATGTAGAATATCTTTGGCCGTTAAGTAAATTGAAATGACTAATAATTACTTTATTTCAAGTATTTAATCTTTTCTGTAGCTTACCTTTCTGGGTTTTTTGTTTGTTTGTTTGTTGTTTGTTTTGTTTTGTTTTTGCTTACCTTTTTTGAAAGTCTCCCTCCCTCCCTGCTTCTGTGAATTGAGCTTAGAGCAAATTTATTCTGGGGATCGAACTCAGGTCCTCAGGTCCTCAAGCTTGCAAGGGAGGCAGCGGAACCACTGAGTTAAATCCCAGGCCCGCAAATTTATTCTTTTAAAAAGTTACATCTTTCCCAGTTTTCCAGCCAAAACTCAATTTTAGTTCCTCAAAGAGATAATGCTCTCTGTAATCTCAGGGGCTTTGTGCGAAGCTGTTTCAGGAATTATTTTATTTTCCTTTCTCTGCATTCAGTGAAGAGTTAGTGAAGACCAGGTTGGTACTAGATAGTAGGGTAGAACGGAGAGTAGAAGATGACTTTGGCTCTTACCTCACAGAATTGACTGTGTAATGAAAGAGTTAAAATCTACTTTAACAATTATGTGAGGGAAATTGCAAATGAGATAGGAGCAGCTAATGTACGGATCGCCTAGGAATGAGAACCTACAAGAGGGTTTTAATGTAGAAAAGGCTTGCCTGAGAAAGTGAAAACAGGTGATTAAGAGAGGAATAAGACAGCCTTTGAGAATACCCTGTGGAGGAATGTAATTTGACACATTATGACACAATATGAGGAACCAGGAAAAAAAAATACTATTCGAAAAATAGCCAGGAGAGAGTTGGGGTGGAGCGTTGACTGTTTTGTTCTGTATCGGCCGCCATCCTGCCGCGTGTAGCTACGATCTCATCGCACTGGTTTTTGGGAGTTGTGGTCCCGACTTGTTCGAGTAGGCATGGCGGCCTGCATTGTAGCGGGGAATGGGAGCACTTTGGGCTTGGCCCGGAGCTTCCGAGCGTCTAGAGTGCTGCTTCCTGGGCCAGGCTCTGTAGCAGGCTGTAAGTGGAGCCCGGGCTTATGCGCTGAGGAGCAGGAGGTGTCCAGGGCCAGGCTGGTGGGAGGTATTCAGGGCAGTCTGGGCGACCCCGCTGTTGATCCTCGGGGGATCGAGATGGCGTGGTTCAAAGAGCTCACTCAGTGTTGGCGCGAGAGTCTTAACCTTTGCGGTTTTCTCCTGTAGGGGTCCTCTCTGGGCCGGCCCGGCAGCACGGGACTGGGCCTTCCGAGCCCGGCGTATTCCAGCCGCCACCGAAACCGGTCATAGTGGACCAGCGCCGACCTCCCGCCGAGAAAACGAGGTGAGCCCGGGACCAGGGCGTGAGGCAGGTCGGCTGCAGCGGAGCCCGGAGCTCCCACGGCACGAACTGGTGTGTGGGATTCACCCGTGGACCGAGTACACCCAGCTTCGTTTTGCTTCTCCCTTATCCTGCTTTAATCTCTTAACCTTAAGTCACAACTACACGTACAGTAGGAGTAGGGATTCCCCTACTGTTGTTTTATAATAAGTTTAAAATCAGTTAAAGAAAATAAGAATATTAATTTTAAAATCAGTTTGCAATTGGTATTTCTTCCTCAGCATAATTTATTGTAATTTATATCTTAGTGTGAGGCCTGTGTTTACCAGCACTTAAATCTGACTTGATAGATATTTAACTAATACAACAGTGGGTCAGTTATTTGCTTTCTTCAAGCTTTAGTTTCTTTGTCTGTAAAACAGAGATGCTCACACCAAACGCATCTAGTTACAATATGGCTCACTTTATGCAAATGTGTTAGCTTTTCGTTACTGTCATGGAATACCTGAGGTACTCAGCTTAAAGGAGGAAAGATTTCTTTTTTTTTTTTTTTTTTTGTCCATGCTAGTAGTGCATGGTTGCTTTATGCTGTCCCTGTATCTTGGGCCCTGTGGAGAGTCAGTACTTCAGGACAGGAGTGCGTGGATGATACTACTTGACTTATGCCGACCAGGAAGCAGAGAAAAGGCTAGGGGCCCAACATCCCCACAAGCACGTACCACTTGTGATTTAACTTCCTTCCACTAGGCACCCCTTCCTGAAGTGTTTCCCAGGAGCATCGTAGGTTGGCACCAGGCTTTTAGCGTATGGATCTTTAGGGGGACATTTAAGATCCAAACCCAATAGCTATTTACATGTTTTATGGTGCTTTTAATAAAATGCCAGGTGAGTAGTGTTAGCTATTATGAGTATAGCAATTTAAAGAACAATGGTTTTAGAAATAACATTGGCTTCTTATTTAGGAAATGAAGAATAAAATGTATCAACATGATAGTCTGCATTTCTGTAAAAAAATTTTTTTTTTTTTTTTTAAATACCAGGGATCAAACTCGGGTCCTTGAGCTTCTGAGGCAGACAGTGGTTCGAACCACTGAACTAAATCCCCAGGCCCTAGTCTCCATTTCTTTGTAAAGCAACATTTTTTTCTTCTCATGGCTGAAGTTTGCTTTTAATTTTTTTTTTTATTTATATTTTCACAGGTTCTTGAGTCCTGAATTCATTCCTCCAAGGGGAAGAACAAATCCTCTGAAATTTCAGATAGAAAGGAAAGATATGTTAGAACGGAGAAAAGTACTCCACATTCCAGAGTTCTATGTTGGTCAGTAAGAGCTGTGTCTTTTTTCCTTAGTAGTTGGATAAGAAGATTGTTCTTCACATGTCTGCATTTTTAGCTTTTTGGGGTACTTCTAATAATATATTAAGATATTTAGGAAGGTAAATTATCTAGAAATGCTATTTGTTTTTTGCATTTCATATGAAAATTCACTTCTTCTATGAATTTGTAGGAAGCATACTACGTGTTACCACAGCTGACCCATATGCCCAAGGAAAATCTAGCCAGTTTCTGGGAATTTGCATCCAGAGGTCAGGAAGTGGACTTGGAGCTACTTTTATCCTTAGGAATACTATTGAAGGACAAGGTCAGTTTCATTTTATTATTTTAATTGCTTAGGAAATATTATCTCAGAATTCCTTTTTGTTTTCTGTTTCCTCAGATTAAGACATTTGAAACTTAAACATGAACATATAGATGCTCTAAAAGAAGACTTGGGAGTCTGTGGCCTTAGAATGGATTGGGAATTGTGCTTGAATATACAGTTGGTGGTCTGCATTCTCTTGAAGGCTTTTTTTATTATAAGGACAACAGCCATTAGAAATAGACTCTCCAACATGGCAACATCAAGCGAGGAAACAACTCTAAATCAGTGTAGGGATATTTCTTTTAGGAATAAGCTATGAGGACACTGAGATAGCACAGTGATGCTCCTAAACTAAATGTCCCCATTTTGCTTTATATTATGATACTAAATGGTCTCTATAATTATTCTGTTCTATAAGGTTTGGGGGCATTTAAAAGATACAAAATTATGTTTGCATACTATGCCTAATAAGGCAGAGGAACTAATGGTAAAATTCTAGAAAAACTGTGAATTAGAATGGCAGAAAAAAAAAATCAATTTTTTATACTTAGAAGTGTGTGGTTTATGATTCTCAACAGTGAAGTATTCAAAGAAACTGATGAGGTAAGAGCAGTTGCTGTGCTGCTTATCCTGGGATAAATCATGGAGCTGTGCATGTTGGAATTCAGCCCTCCTTATTTGATCAGAAATGTGCCTTCATTCAGGCTGTATATACTTAAATCCTTTCATAGGAAAAAAAAAAAAAGCATAGGTATAAGTTGATTGAGACTTTTCTTCTTGAAAATTAAAATGATAACTGTTTCTGCCTTACAGAGTTCTAGTCAGTCCACTGTGAGATACTGTATGTGAAGTACTAGGCACAGAATTAGCTCCCTCTTGTCATTGTCTATAGTTTAATTATTATAGCCAATTTTAATTCTTGCTTTAATGGTTCTTTCTAGTCAAAGGCTTTATATCTATGTGCTACTAACTCCCAGGTTGGTAGCTCTAGTACTCTTTTCTAGTTCCGGATGTGGACTTGCAACTCTCTCTTCAGTGTCTCCATTTGGATGTCTTACATGAATAAAACAAATTGAGTACAGACCTCTTTATTTCCCTCATAAGGTGCCCCCACCCACCTTTTTTTTTTTTTTTTTAATTTGGGACAGTTGCTAAGTTGCCAAGCTGGGCTCAAACTTCTACCACAGCCTCTCAGAATGCTGGGATTACAGCCATGTGCCATCTTGCCTGGCTTATCTTCCTGCTATCTTAACCTGTTTGTATTACTAAAAGTAAATGCCCAGAATACTCTTAATTTATAAAGAACAGAAGTTTACTTCTCACAGATAAGAAGGCTGGAAAGTCCAAGATCAGGGCAGGTTACCTGTCTGGTGAAGAAGACTCTGTTCCCTGCTTTTAAGATGGCACTTGTTGCTGTTTGCCTTGGAAGGGACAAATACTAAGATGTTACCTGGTAGAAGGTGGAAGGGCAAAAAGAGCCTGGACTGGTTTTGTCCAGCTACTTCATAAGGCATTAATCCATTTTTGAGGACAGAACCCTCATGATTTCCTGAAACATCCCACTTAATACTACCACAGTGGATTTTCAGCATGAATTCTGGAAAGACAGATGCAGACCATGATGCTTGCTTACCAAGTTACTGTGTTTTCTGCCAAATGGGTCCTTCCTGCTTTTTTCAACATGGCAAGTTTTTAAAAATGCAGGGTTTTATATTTGTTGTTCTTTCTGCCTGGAACATTCTTCATCCTTTACTGAATCAGTTCATATGTCATCTCAGAAACTTTCCTTGATTATATTATTTAAGGTTGACCCAGCCACAGTGCCATCACCCTGTCTTGTCTTATTGATATGGAACTACCTTGATGGCATTTTTTTTGTTTTGTTTTGTTTTTGGCATCCACTTAGAATTTAAGCTTCATGAGAGAGAGATCTTAGCCTATTTTAGTTTGCTATAGGCACAGTTCTGAACAGAACAGATGGATATTCTAATATTGGAGCGAATCCTGGTATGAAATTAGAAACTTTATCATACAAAATAGTATTTTTATTCTCTTGAGATTATTTCAGAAAACCTCAAAGTACACTCTTATCTTTAAGTGTTTGATAATATAAGTGGCATATATTAAATTACTACTTAAAAGCAATTTGATATGCTTACAGCTATACCTATCTTGCTTCATTTGGAAGGCCATTGTGCTAAAAATAGGCCATCTTTAAGAGGCGCTTTTAAACCAAGAGTAAAACTTAAAAATACATTTTTTAATATCATTAATCTTGTTAATCATGGATAGTTTCTACTTAGGTAATTGGAATATTACTGGAGAACATGACATGGTAATACATTCACTCATACTTTCTCTAATGCCTGTTATCAGAATTGAAAAGATATGTGACAACATATATATAGAAAACATTTTTCATTAGACTTTATTCTAATCCAGGTTTTTCTCATCTTTCTTTGTATTTTAGCTTTTATTTAAATAGATTTCAGATTTTTCAGAGGCCATCTTAAAAATTACAAATTTATGTCACATTTCTCACATGCGAAATGTTGCACTAATTCCTTTATAAAATAGCTTTTACTATAGTTTGAGGCATTGCGGGAATCTGGACTTAAGGTTATAAGAATATATTGTCTTTTTAGGTGTTGAGATTTGCTTTGAACTGTATAATCCTCGAATCAGTGAGATCCAAGTGGTCAAATTAGAGAAACGGCTGGATGACAACTTGTTATATTTACGAGATGCCCTTCCTGAATACAGCACTTTCGATATAAATATGAAGCCAATAACAACAGAGATTAACCAAGAAGCTCCTGTTAATAAGGTATAGGTTGCACTTCTGGAAATGAAAGTATAAAATAGGAATTATCTTAATGAAAACTTCAGAAAAATGTTTGCTTATGTCTTGGCAGCCTAATTAATCCTTCTCTTTATTTTTTCCTTAGCTGAAAGTAAAAATGAAGCCTAAGCCTTGGTCTAAACGCTGGGAACGTCCCTATTTTAATATTAAAGGAATAAGATTTGATCTTTGTTTAACTGAAGAACAAATGAAAGAAGCTCAGAAATGGAGTCAGCCCTGGCTGGCATTTGATATGATGAGGGAATATGATACTTCCAAAATTAAAGCTGCAATATGGGATGAAATTGAAGCATCGAAAAAGTCCTGAATCTGAGAAGCATTTGGTTACCTGGGGACGATACACTGGCTTTCGGAGGATTTATGTTGAAACAATTTAATTTTATTTATAAGAATGTAATCCTTAAACAAGCATTCTTTTTCTAAATTACTTTTCAAAAAATAAAAAATTCACAGCAGTTTATTACTGAAAAAGAGAATACACATGACAAATGGTCCAGTGTTCATTCCCTTATTGGAGGCAAAGCTACAGTGGAAGTCAGCATCATCAGAATGAGAGTCAGTCAGCATGGAATCTGAATCAGGGCAATGGGTGGGATACTTTATTTAAATTGTGAATTAACCATAGAACAGAATATTAGTTAAAGTGAACCCACTGTCAGGTTAAGTAATAGAATGTTCACTAAGATTTAAGAAGACAACTATTTGTCATATGCATCCTTCTAGATAATAGACATTATCCTGACTATAATCATTCCCTTGTGTTTTAGTTTTTATCTGTCTGTCTGTCATCTAATTCCTAAACAATATATTTAGTTTGGGGAGCATAAAAGGATTCTATTGTCATTATTACATGAACATTTCAAGAAGAACATAACAGTCTTTGATCATAGTCTGGTACAAAAGCACTTTTGAGGAAGTTCATGGTTCAGGTTATGAACAAGTTCCGCTGAACAAAAGGCTTAACCTGCAGCATCTGGGTGGACTGGGCAACTGATATGTGGCAAAAATGTAATCAGAAGAAATAAATGATATTTTCTGACTTTAAAGAGCATGGGAAATCAAACTCTAGCTCTTAGGAGTAAGTCAAAATACAATACTTCTAGCAAGTGGTATGAGTGTCCTTGGTAATCCATGTAGCTGTTTATATCATATTGGTAGAGATTAGCTTACATATAATAAGTACAGTACCAACCTGATTCTTGAAAGCAGCCTTCAACCTGTCAGTTGAACTGTGGTCTCTAGTAGTGCCTGTCTTGGGACTTGCATTCTCTGAATTGTGTTTTGGGTTTTGCTGGCCACTAACATTTTGGTGGAGCTCATTCTTTGGTACCAATGAATGGCAGTAAAAGTTTTGAGAACTTGCATGTCATAATTTTATTCTTAGCAATAGAATTTTAGGTAGGAGATAATTTTCCTTTATAGTTTAAAGGTATTACTCCACTATTTGTGTTTCCCTGTTGTATTGAGAAGTCCAAAGATATTTTGATTTCTGTTCCTTATACGTATATGACTTGTAGAAAGTTTTGGTCTTCACAGTAATGAAATTTTCAGATGGACGGTCTTGTCAGATGGCAATATTCAGCTGCTGCTTTGATCTTTTCAGTCAGGGTTAATACAGCCATCTAACTACTTTGAGCAAGTAATACATAGATCATCATCTAATATTTAGATGATTTGGTTAGACAGCTTCTCAATTTTTTTATGGAACCTAGGCTTTGCATGTTAATCATATGCTCTACCGTTGAGCAACATCCCCAGCCCCAGAAGAGCCTGTCTCAGTATTTATTAGATTCAGCATTTGCTTGGTTGCTCCACATTTTTCAGTTCTCCAGATTTTCTGATTGTGACCTTGCTTGTTTTCAGGGGAGGTCACAATCTTGGATTTGCCTGTTCTATCATATTACTCGTGTGTGTGTGTGTGTGTGTGTGTGTGTGTGTGTGTGTGTGTGTGTGTGTTTAATATGTCTATTACTTCTTAACTTTTATTAATACATTTGCTATATATAGTAATTACATTCATTGTAGAGAGTTGTGCACAACCATCTTAATTCTTTTTAATACCCCCTCCACCTTTTTGGTTTTCTCACTTGCAAAGATTTACCTGTTTCCTATTATCTTTTATTTTGCTCTTTTAAATATTTATACTTTTGGTTTCTCACTTAAGAAAAACCATGCAATATTTAAGGTTGTGTCTGATTTATTTCACTTAACTGTGTTTCAAGGTGCATCCATTTTCATCCAAATGACTCAAAATTATACTTTCTAGCAGAGTAGTACTCCACTGTGTATAAATACCACTTTTCTTTATCCATTCAGCTGTTAGTGAACATAAAGGCTGCTCCCAAGATTTAGCTATTATGAACTGTGCCTCTATAAAGATGGGTATGCATGTATCAGTGTAATACGATGGCTTTAACTCTTTTGAGGATACCTAGAAGAGGAATAGCTGGGTTGAATGGAATTTCTAGTTTGTTGTTTTGAGGAATCTCTATGCTGATTTCCATAGTAGTGGTACTAATACATACTTCACACTAACAATGTAGAAGGGTTTCTTTTTTTCTGTAGCCGCTCCAGCATTTTATTATTTGATTTCTTGGTGATAACGAGTCAGGAGTAAGGTGGAACCTCAGCGTTTTAATTTATATATTTCTAAGAGCAGAGATGCTGAGCATTTTTCATGTGTTTATTGGCCATTTGTACTTCTGAGAAGGTGTCATTTCAGTTGCCCATTTCTTGACTAGGTCTTTTATTGGGGTTGGGACTAATTTTTTTTTTTTTTTTTTTTTTTTTTTTTTTTTTTTTTTTATTTTACTGTCCAAGGAATAGCTGGCATTTTTTTTTTTTTCATTTTGTAGGTTGTCTCTTCACTCAGTTGATTTTTCTTTGCCATTCACAAGTTTTTTTAGTTTGATATAATCCCATTTGTTGATTCTTGGTATTTCTTGTGCAACTAGGGTTGTTCAGAAAGTCCTTGCACACCTACAGTGCCCCAGGCACATTCAGCCCCCTGATCTTTGACAAAGGGATTAAAAATATGATGGAGGAGAGATAGCCTCTAATAAATGGTGCTGGAAAGCTGGCCATACACATGCCCAGGCTGAATCTAGATCCGTATCTTACCATGTACTAAAAATGGATCAAAGATAAAAGTGTTTTTAAAACTACTCTCGATTTGTAGCACTGGAAGTCCTACTTAGAAAACCCCTAAGTGCCAGCCAGATAAACTAGGATCGCTGGTCACCCTACATGGCAGTTATTTATGGGATGACATGTAATTATATTTTATTAATTTTAAAATCATGTTTCTACAAAATAGCTTGTAATAGAGAAGTTTATGTATGTAGTTACTAATCTGCTTTCAATTTTTTTTCCTCTGCCAGATCAAATCCACTATGGGTTTTCATTTCAGCTGTCGTACTTTTCAACTGCAGATTTCAATTGTTTCTTTTAAAATAAAATAGAACTACTTCTGTTTATTGATATCCCCTATTTGATAAAACAGCCCCATTATCCTATATTCCTTTGTGATCCTTAGTTTTAATTGTGACTATATGTAATGGCTAAAATCTTTTTGATAAATCTGACATCTGGTTGCTCATAAATAGTCCCATACTAACTGCCTGCTTTCCTCTGCTCTCTAGGTCATACGGTCCTGGTTTTTCCCATGATGCTTTTTGGCAGGTTAAAGTCTAACTTCAGTAAGCAAAAGATGAGCCATTCTCAAAAAGTTACTTCATTTTCTACTTTCATCAATATCAGTGCTCTGATAGCTTCACATCCTCACCCAACATTCCATTTTCAAATCATTATAAAAGATGTGAAATATTTTTGTGAATTTGTTTCTAACAGAGAACATGAAATGTTGAACACTTTTGTCTGAGTTTCTAATTTGATAAAGTTAATTCATCCTTTTCTTTTATGGCTAATCCTAGATGACCTGCTCAAGAAATTTTTATTGTCCCCAAATCAAGGACATTCTCTGGTGTTTTTTTTTTTTTTACAAGCCCAAATCCTATATTTAAACCTGTGATTCCTTCGTACTTTTTAGGATGTGTGTGTAGTAACTGAGAAATAAGATAGGTGTCATGCAAAATTAGATACTGAGTTCTGCCAATACTGGTACAAACTGCCCACTGAATGAACTTCACTCTTCAGTCAAAAATTGTATACATGTAGGTCTTGGACATTTATTTTTTTGGTACCAGGAATTGAACTCACCTTTTGCTTGCAAGGCAGGTGACGGCACCACAGATAAATCCCTGGCCCTGCTGGACTTAATTCTATTCGTTTTTACACTGCTAGGTTTGATTTGCTAATAACTTAAGGACTTTTATATCTATATTCATAAAGGACATTGAGTTTTCTTATATTATTTTAAAGTTTTATATCATGTCTTGTTTCTTTTTGGTACTGGGGATCGAACTCGGGATCTTGCACTTGTGAGGCAGGCGGCGGCACCACTGAGCTAAATCCCCAGCCCCTGTATCATGTATTTCTTAGGAGTCATCTACATACATTTTTTGTGATGGGCTGATGAAATACAACTATCAATTTTGTTTTGAGATGACCTTTTCATTGTTGTAAAAAAATTTCTTGCATCAGATCTATGAAAGTTTCATATTCTATAAGTGAACAAAAGGCTGAAAAAAAAATCCGGAAGGAATAATTAAAATGTAAAATGAGTTGCCAGGTCAATGTTTTGTTCTTGATAGTTGTATTCCTCTTTCATTCTGTCCATTTCACAAGAATAGGAAGAAAAAAAGAATTTGCAATGATTAGGTAAGTTCCAGTAAATTTTTGAATTATATTGTATGATCAAACTCCTTGCATAATGAAATTTAAAACTGAGTAGTTGAAGCAGCTGTATTCTCCATTATATGAAAAGATAAGTATCTCTGCCCAATTTAAAAACATAAAGAAACACATCCAATATATGTCCAATTAAAATCCTGAAAGTCAAAGGATAATTTCCAAATATAAGCTTTAATAGTTAACACATTACAAATTTCATATGTAATAAAATATCGTCAATTACATTAAAAAGTTTTATGTACACATACATTTTTGTAAACAGTGTCTTGAAAGGATAACTTTAAAATGAGAACAGCATTTCTGACTAGGGAAGTTTGTGTGGGAATGCTAAATGCTTTTCTTTTTATAAATTTTTTTCTTGGTTTATTTAAAAATTTTTTATCTTTATTAGTATACGTTTGCAGTGCATGCTGCAATCTTTATGAGGAGTTGGTACATGTACATTACACATCTTAAATTTTTTTGACATCCCTTTCCCTCTTCCCCTCCATCTCTAAATGCTTTTAAGCAATGGTTTGAATTTTATAGATGAATTTTATTTTCATATAATCTATACAACCTAAGCTTTAAAAAATCCTTCACACTAGTGAATCACAAGACTTCATTGCAGTACAGGTAAAATATCAATGAAATTAAATTGTAATTTTAAAAGTAGAAGTGATAAAGTGATATAAATCCTATAATATTAATCATTTTTTCCATTATCTTTTGGGCAAGAATTTACAAAATATGTATTTAAAGCAAATAGACTTAAGAAAATTACTAGTGGGCTGGGATTTAGCTTAATGGTGCCACCACAAGTGCAAGGTCCTGAGTTCAATCCCCAGTACCAAAAAAGAAAAAAAAAAGTACTAGCAAAATCTCATTTTGAAAACTTAATTTCTTTTTAATTACCTTTTTAATTTCTTATTCCTTAAGCAAACATTATTTTATCAGAAAATGAATTACATGATCACATGTATTGAGTATATATAAAATGTTTCCTCTTCAATCATACCAATAAGTTAAAAAAAAAAAGCAGCAATTTGCTAATAAGTAATGACTTACACCAGAAACCATCACATACAAAAATTAAAAGAAAAATGGCAGACAAAAACTATTTACTGGGCCAGGGATTTAGCCCAGTAGTTCCACCGCCTACCTCACAAACTCAAGGATCCTAGTTCAATCCCCAGTACCAAAAACAAAACAAACAAACAAAAAAACCCAAA